TTTTGCATATCTATTTGCTTGCAATCTTCTGCAGTTCTTGATTTGGATACTGTAAGTTATCCTTGCTGTTTATCAGGTGAGATAGAGAGTGAGAGCAGGTTCCATGGAGTGGACGACGTTGCATCACCTGGATCTGCGATATGTCGCTCGAGGCATCACCAAGCCCTTGCAGCCTCACGCCGCCACCTTTCACCCTACTCAGGCTCTCGTCGCAGTTGCAATTGGAAGCTACATCATCGGTAACGACTGTTTGGTTATTCTTTAAGACTTTTGGAAACTGAGTTCGTTAGTTGAATTGGCTGTGCTTTCGCCTTTTATTTTTGGTGAAAAGTGTTTTAATTCTTTGCGACTATGCCTTTTGCATCCAGAATTTGATGCGTTAACCGGAAGCAAGTTGTCTACCATCAATATTGGCTGCCCGGTGGTTCGAATGTCTTACAGTCCAACGGGCGGCCATGCTGTGATCGCCATCCTTGAGGTCAGTTTCGAAGTTAACAACAGTTAATCCGGGAAATGTAAATTGAACTTTGTATTTTTCTCACATACTGTTCTTTTGGTTTCATTGCCATTTTTATTTTTGTCTTCCTAAAACTGAGGGGTTCTTTGCTTTTAGCTGTCAGATGTTGTTTATAATTAGTATATACAGCTGAAAAATCGTTATAGAAGTATTCCATTTCCAATTTTTTTTTTTTTTTTCAGTGTTGGGATTGCTGTGGTGGATAGATAGTTCTATAGTAGCTTAGATTTTTTACAACTTGCGTAATTTTTCTCTCCCTATATATATGGAGTTCAGTAACAAATCCAAGGCAGATAAGTAGCTTGCTGACTTTACATTTTCATGTTTTCACTTTCCCACTGGTGCTTTGCTGGAAGGTGAAATATATTGTTGAAGATGTTCTTTAGAAAGACCTAAATCTAGTACCTGTACTCTACTAGTTGTGGTGGTCTACTCATATCTTTTACGGCTGTTTTCCCAAGCCATAAGCTAGTCCTTTACAGTTCCTTCTCATTATTCTTGAATGCTCATTGAGATCCTTGTGCTTTCATGCTTATATTGTTGGAAGGTTGTTATAGCAGCCTTTCAATTGTTTTTATTTGTGAATTATATAACTGGACATGAGAAAGTCATTTAAGTAAAGCAGTATTTTAAATTTTCGATCTAATTTGATAATTACTGCAGTAGTTTTATCTTTCCCAAGCTCCATACAATTTATAGTTTTGTAGCTCTTTCCTATTTAATTTTCTCAAATATGAAATTCTTTTATGTTAAACTATATGTTGATAAATTTTTTATGCACTAGGATTGTACGGTACGATCTTGTGATTTTGATGCTGAACAAACATGTGTCTTACATTCACCTGAAACAAATATGGAGCGAATTACTTCTGATGCTGAAGTCCATTTTGCGTTGACACCTCTTCAGCCAGTTGTATTTTTTGGTTTTCAGAAAAGAATGAGTGTAACAGGTTTGTTTGCTTCCTTTGGTTTTCAAGTGTAGATTATCTTCTTCTCTAATATCCCTGCACAAACAAGTTCGAAGGTTTGTTTAGAATACTTTAACTTTTCTGCATTTAGTTGTTGGGACGGTTGAAGGTGGGAAGGCACCGACAAAGATAAAGACAGACTTGAAAAAACCAATTATGAATCTTGCTTGTCATCCTCGGCATCCTGTTCTGGTAATCTATCCATTTGCTTGAGATTGGTTTTATTCATATCAGTTTTTGTTGTCACTGTTAGTAAGGCTGTCAGTGGATCAGATTCTGAATAATCCAAACAAATCAAAACTGATGCTTATTTGATATGTTAATAGAAGATATAGTTTAAGATGAAAAGTGTCAGTGCTCTATGCTTTAGGTTTTTTGATTGCTCAATCAAAGTTTCGTATGTCTAAGGGCTTGAACTCCCTCCTTTTTTTTTTCTTTCTTTTTTATTTTTTTTTTATTTTAAAATTATTGTATATCAAGGAGAGCAAGTCTCTCCATATCATGACTTGAACATTGGGTAGCCTATCATATTTCTTCCTTATAGGTGATTTGGAAGGCTAAATGGAACATTTTAAAAAATGCTTAGTAATTGAGTTTTAATCCTAAGCTAATGTGAGTTCTCTTCTGAATTGGTGTGGTCTGGGCATATAAGGGCATTCTCGCTGTTAGACCTTAGACCTCAAATTATAGAAGGTATCCTGTTCAAAATTCAAAGTATTTAAGTTTTGCCTCCTAAACTAAGTTGCTGGCATTTTACCATTTGAGCATAACTTTTATTTTCTTTTGAAAATGAATAACTATATTCTTATGATGATTAGAGGTGTGTTTTGAATGGTCCTTTTTATCTTATTTTTATTTTCTGATATTATTTTCCATCTGGACTGGTTGTTCTTTGTTCTCATTTGTATGCTCAGTTGCTGGACTAAATCAATTTATTTGTAAATAGATGAACAGAAAATTATTGTGAAACAAACTGAGTAATTGGTTGCCTTTCTAGAGTACTGTTATGTAACTAGATAAACAGATGGGCGTTACATTCGGATTGTGTATGTATAAAAATCTATTCCATTCACAGCCCTAATCAGTGAAAATTTGACTGCCAAATAACTACTTGATGCTCATTTTTTGTTTAAAAATTCACCTGAGCCATTTATCTTTTGTATTGTTCTTATATCTCCTGTTCCCAAAAAAAGTATGTAGCATATGCAGAAGGCGTGATACGAGCTTACAACATTCATACGTATGCTGTTAGTTACACGCTACAACGTAAGTTGGAAGACACATATTCTCTGTTGTTGAGGTATGAGAACATTAGCTATAATTGAGGATCACACTTATTTTTCTTTCTTGGGTTGTCTTGCAGTTGATAATACCATTAGGCTTGTTGGTGCTGGTGCTTTTTCATTTCACCCAATGCTGGAATGGATTTTTATTGGTGATAGACGTGGTACACTTCTCGCGTGGGATGTATCAACTGAGAGACCTATCATGATTGGAATGTAAGCTACTTAGTAAATCTTTCATTGTTTTCTAGTGGTTCTTTTCTTTTTCTTCCTTTCCTATTATGCACATTCTGTTTGTTTGGACTATGGAGTGAAAGAAGAAATTATAGGCATTACTTCACTGAATCTTGACAGACTTTAGGATATCAATTATGTGGAAAGGATGCTGGGCTTCTGTATAATTATATTAACTTAGTGTATTTTATAATTACATCTTTAGTGAGTGAATGGTTTTTTGCCATTACAGTACGCAGGTGGGTTCTCAACCAATCTCATCAATTGCTTGGCTCTCAACGCTACGTTTACTTGTCACACTCTCCAGGGATGGTATTCTACATGTGTGGAAAACACGGTCGACAGTTAATCCTAATAGACCTCCAATGCAAGCAAACTTCTTTGAATCTGCTTGTAAGCCACAAAAAATGCTCTTTGACAAATGAGGAAATACATATTTGTGCCTTTTATGTACCAACTAGTGTTTTATTTTCTGATCACAGCAATTGAATCCCTGGACATTCCTCAAATTCTCTCTCAGCAGGGTGGTGAAGCAGTTTATCCCTTGCCACAAATTAGAGTTTTAGAAGTTCATCCAAAATTAAATTTAGCAGCTCTGCTGTTTGCAGTTAAGAGAGCTTTCTTCTTTCATTTTTCTCTAAATCTTTTGTTAATATAAAATGTAAAATTTTGAGTTTTCTGTTGTAGAATGTGGCAGGGAGTGATAATTGGAAAAATAGAGCAGCATACACCAGGGAAGGAAGGAAACAGCTCTTCGCAGTTCTGCAAAGTGCCAGAGGGTCTTCAGGTGAATTCTTGTTAAACTGGTTATTTCATGGTACATGTTTGAAAAGGATGCTTAATGGTTTTTTTTTTTTTTTTTGGGAAGAAGATATTAAGCTTTTGCCACTATCTGATTCCTTTAGTACATTGGGATGCAATTGTGTAGATTTTTCTCATATATGTTAGTGGTAATTTGATTGATATAGAAGAATATATCTTGGACGCTCCTATGGAAGATTCAAAATTTTTTGGGAGGAAAGCCTTACTGCATTTCTCTTGAAATCATTATTCAAAATTATTTTAATCCTAATGCATCTTTTAGCTGTGTTCATCCAATCAGGATTATGGGAAATTTCTTTAAGCTGTTCATTTTTTCTCCTGACATTTTGTTACTTCTATTCTAAATTTCAACATGTTGACAAACTGCAGTACAGTCATGCTTTGTTCTTTGACTGAATTTGATGAGTTGATGTGATTTGCAGCCTCTGTTTTAAAGGAGAAGCTTTCATCCATGGGTTCTTCTGGAATTTTGGCTGATCATCAGCTTCAAGCACTACTGCAAGAGCACCACCTCAAAGGGTGAGTTTGAAGTAATATTGAGAAACTTTACCTGTTTATCAAGCACATTGGAATCGAGAAGGAAACATCTATTTAGGGACCTAGCTGGTTCTTATGAATATGATATTTCCTTCTAATAGTTTGCTGTTATCATATGACTTCAGAAGTTTTGCATCATTATATGTCATTATTGATAATTTATATCTTTTTGGCAGCCAAAGTCAGCTAACAATTTCAGATATTGCCCGGAAGGCATTCCTTTATAGTGTATGTTGTTTTCTCTTCTAACTATACAGTTATCAGACTGATTTGTTTATTTGTTTATAGGTTATATGTTTTCTTGAAAGAATAGTTTTAATCAGACTGTTATTTTACTTTTGTGACAGACAAATCTTGAAGCTTAACCTGATGTTGCACTTTTGAAACTATTGTTTGTTATATATTTCTTATAAATTAGTTGCACAAGCTTTGAGGAACTTGGTGAAGTATTATGCTTATGGATTGGCTTGACTCACAACTGATGCTTAAATTTGAATTAGGTTTGTGGTTATTGGCTGAATGATTTTTGAAAAAAAGAAGTCACCAAGTAATCAGACTCTGTTTTTCTAAATTCAACTTCTTTTTGAATTATTATATAAAATATAATGATG